TGCAAATTGCTGAGGTGCGGCCTCTTTGTCGAGCAAGTAGAGGACAGATTTGAGAGATCTGCTCCCTGTCCTTTCGCTTCGTCCAAACCGAATACCACCTTTCTCTCCAAGCCCCCGTGTCTCGGTGTTTCGGCTGACTAGCGCGTTGGGCACACGGACCTGAACTTGGGGAGACGGCTCAGTAACAAATATGTACCGAGTGAATGGGCCGGAGAGGCGGTTGGAAGAAGCACCGGGAAGAGCTGGGAGTTTTCAATCCCTTGTGAGCCTGAACAAGCGCTCAGGATCCCTGTTCCCACCCCCCAGACAGCTGAGTGGAGTCAAGGCACCAGGCATCGGCTCCAGCCCTCCCTAAACTAAGGTTCCCCCTAAAGAATTTTCGAGGGAGAAAAATTCATAGAGGCTTCTGAGACTCCAATTCTCAGCCATCCAGGAAGGGGGCTTGGGCTGGGGCGTCTGGCTGTGTCAGAGTGCAGCTCAGTCGATTTCCACAAACGTTTTCGACACCGCCATGTGCCACATACCATGCTAGATGGTGTTCTATATGCAATTTCTTTTTTAAATAAATGCTCATTTTTATTTAAGTGATATATGCACATGGGTTAAAAGCCAAATCATGCTAAAGTGCTCATGAAGAAAGCAACGATCCCTTATCCCCAACCCCTCACAAAATCATCCTGCTTCTCACAGGCACCTCCTTCAACTCTCTTGGCTCTTTATTCTGGGATTTACCCCCAGGTTTCTAAATAACTATGGGACTTCTACTCACTTTCGATTCATTCATTTTAGATATTATGTACTGACTTTCTATTGTGATAAATGAAGATTTTTAGCTCTAGTCACGCACCTCTTTTCACCTCCATCCCCCCGCAATAGTTACAATGCAATTTAGGTTCAATCCATATTTGGGCTTTTTATTGTTATGACCACATCAGTATTGCTCACTGCCAAGTTAATGACAATTATTTCATTTTTAAAAATTTGAATTCATAGCTAAATCTTCCTACCCCCACCAACTCGCAATACAACCCTTGAATTTTCTGCATAGTTGAGTCCATCTGAATCATCTTTTTCTTTTTCTCCAGCCCCTCCCAACGCCCCACCGACACGCCTCTCACCCGAGGCCTCCAGCATCCGTCCATCTGGGCCTCAGTGCTGGCTTTCCAGGCTCCGCTCCACGGGCCTGTCCTTGACCTAAGAGCTCTCATCCCCTCAGCCTCCCTCCCACTGACGTTGCATTGGGGGCCTGTCACCTGGATCCTGCATCTCCTTCTGTCTCGGTTTCCTTGTCTTCGTGGAGCACACCTTGCCTTTGTTCCCTGACAAAGGTGCAAGGAGGTAAATTTTTTGAGACTTTGCACATCTGAAAGCATCTTCATTCTAGGTGGGAAATCATTTCTACTTCAAAGTGATGACATCCCTGCCCCAGGATCTTCTGGGCTCCCAGGTTACTGTTGAGAAATCTGATGCCATTCTGATTCTTGGACATTTGTATATGAGTGGGTTTTCTGAAAAGCTTACAATCATGCCTTTACCCCTGGCATTCAGACATTTCACAGCAATACATCTTTTTTAAAAATATGTTTTTATTGATTTTTGAGAGAGAGTAAGGGGTAGGGAGAGAGAGAGAAACATCAATTGGTTGCCTCCAGCAAGGCACGTGCCCTGAACGGAAATCGAACCAGCGACCTCTCGGTGCATGGGAGGACACTCGGCGCATGGGAGGACCACTGAGCCACACTGGTCAGGGCACAGCAATATGTCTTGATGTGGGTCTTTTTCATTCATTTTGCAGAGCACTGGTCTGGACCATCCAATCTGGGAAAATTCCTTGTGCTTTTCTGTTAATATTTCCCACCTCCTCTCTTTTCACTGTTCTGCTCAGAACTCCTGTTAGCCAGATATTTGGCCTCCTGGACTAATCCTCTCATTTTCTTATCTTTTATCTCATAATCTATCCCCGTGCCTTTTTAAAATTCTCCTTTCCAGGAGATCTCTCTGATGTTAGCTTCCAACTCTTCTCTCTGAAAAAAAAAAAAAAAAAAAATCGGCTATCACTGTTCTAATTTCAAAAGCACTTTCTTGTTCTGAATTTTAAAAATAAGCATATAACATGTTGCCCTTATTTTTAAAGTGTAGTATTTTATTTCCCTGAGAATATTATGGTCTGTCTCTTTTCTGAGTTCCCTTTTGCCTTTGTTTTGATCTGTTTCTTGTTGGAGATTGTCCATTCTTATTAAGCATCAGGTCCCAAAAAGTTGATTGGAAGCTTTCGGTGGAAGGTGAAAATCATAGGGTCATTTTCATTGGTACCTTCAAGTGCAATTCAGTTTCTTTGGAGGACCTCCAAGCTCCTGCCTCTTGGTCAAAGCCTCACTTGGCATCAGGCATTCACTCCATGTCTATTTTCCACCTGGGTCCTCAGCTTCGCAATCCTTATGAGTGGTCTGTAAAGTTGCCCCAGAGAAAATGCATCCTGTTTCCTGTAGAACTATTTGTGACCCTTGGCTTTGTGAGGCCAGGATAGGAGCTATCTCTTATACCAATCCCTCAATGTCATCTCTCTCCAGCGCCATCTTTCATGGGGTCCAGCACCTGGCATCTCCAGTTCCTGAGACCTTCAGGACTCTGCATGGGGAAATGGTTTCATGTTGCTATATCTCCCTCAGCCAGTATTTCAACGTGATCTTCCCCTGTTCGTCTAAGGCATTTATTTATCATTTCTCCATCCCATTTCTGCCTTTGTATATACCAGATAGGATTGCTGCCTTCTCTGAGTTTCTTTGAGAATTAAGTTTGTACAGATTCTCTTGCTCTCCTTGTTATTTGAAGGTAAATTTCCAGAGAAGAGAGACAGAGGCATAATTATTCTACCATCTCAAAACCACAAGAATACATTAAGTGGACATTGAGTCTATCTTAAGCCTACATTATCTTTTAATCCTCACAATTAACATTGCCATCCGTGGAACTGAGCTTTAGGGAGTTTAAGTTCTCTGACCAAGGTCAAGTTGGGAAGTGGCTAAGAACCCAGGTCTGGCCAAGGGCAAATTCATGCTCTTTCTCTTACTCTCTTTTGCCTTCAAACACTCTGAGCTCTAGAGAGGGTAGTCCACTGTGGTCCAGCCTGGGTGAATACCTGGAGGTGCAATGGGAGGAAGCCCTGTGGGGAAGCAAGGGGCTCCTGCATTTGTGAGACGTTCTAGTGACTTGTATCTCTCAGGGTCCGTGGAGAGTCTAGACTGAACACAATAACACATGATATACTAAACAGGGCCAGCCTCAGAGAAGGGCTGAAGGACTGAGGGGGTATCCCAGACTTAGGCCATGGAGGAGGCATATGTCCTAAGAGAACTTGGGAGAAAAGTTGGCTTCCAGGGACCCAGAAAAAAAAAGGCCAGTGAGGCCAATGGTATCACATCGTGAGGACAAGAGAAATGCTCCTGTGGACTTACACCCATGCCAAGGCACTGGTGACTTCCAGGCCCCAGCTTCTCACTGTTCTCAGGGTTTGGGCTCCTAATCACTCCCAGACCTGGCTTTCACCTCAGCCACGGTGGGGTTGAGCTTTCAGGGGATTAACAGGGTCAGCAATAGAGCAACTTAGAACTGACAGTGTTGGTCCATCTGTATATTCATAGGTCATTTTTTAGACCCCAAAGTAGGTCCTTACATTAGCCCTCTGTTTAATTTCATCTTGTTACAGTTTGCCAGAGTGGTCATGGGCTTCATTTCATTGACCAGCCCTGATCCCTGATGGCTGCCTGGACACTGTGAGGAGAATTACTCTGGGGCTTTGCCCAGGCTCAGGGAAGGGTTGTTAGTGACGCCTGCCACGGGTGGGGGATAGGAGAGGTCACGGGTATGTGTGTGACTGACTCAGGTCATCTTCTCATCCCAGAGTTGTGTCCTCCGTAAATGTGATCAGGGTGCTTTCGAAGTCCTTATTCAAGTCCCTGATAAAAGTTGATTGAAACAGCCCTGGCCGGGTGACTCAGTAGGTCGGAGCATTGTCTGTGCACCAAACGGTTACAGGTTCAATTCCTGCTCAGGGTACATGCCAGTCAGGGTGGGTAGGGGAGGCAACTGATTAATGTTTCTCTCTCGCATCGATGTTTCTCTTTGTCTCTCCTTCCCTCTATTTAAAATCAATTTAAAAACACACAACAACAATACATCCTTGGGTGAGGACTGGGGGGAAACGGTGATTGAGATAGCTCCAAGGGCAGTGCCATTAGGTGCACTCTTGAGACCGACCTGGAGCTTGGCATTGATATGCAACCACTGAATAGAGTCTGGTACATTTAGCATTGTTTTTGATTCATTTCCAAGACACATTTTCCCATCTTGTGTCCAGAGAGTTTTTCTATAAAACCATCACCTGATAGGACAGAGGAGGGTGCATCTCTTTTCCATTCATTCCTGAGGTGCATAAACTGAGTTGTTGAGAAGTGGAGGGATCACAGAAAAGAAGAGAGAAGTCCTCAAGTTTAGGACCTCTGGGTCCCGTGTTTAGAGACCAGCCCTTCAGGACTCCAGCCCGCGGTCTCTCTTCATGTCCTGAGTCAACGATGAGTGTCGTGGGGAAAATGAGCACTGAAGGTCAGTCACGCAGAACATAACAGCAACAAATGGGGGAAAAAACCACACAGGCACGCTCTGTGTCAAGCAGCTCATACTTTTATCATAAAATACAAACTTTCTAAAATTAAGTGTCTTACTTCTATTTTACCAACAACAACAAAAACAAAAATCACTCATGTTAGCTAAATACAGGTGCATAAGTAAGTAGATGAGCAGTGAGTATGAGGCTGAGGGGGCGGGTGTGGTGTGGGCCACGTGGGTGTGAGTGTTGGTCAGTAGGTGGGTCTGGTCCCGCTGTCTTCTGTCTGCGGCCTGATGGGGACCTTGGCTTTCCAAACTGCCTACCAAGCTGTTGCAGCACCCAGAACTCCAGAGCCCTCAGCCCCGACCCAAGGGCTAAGGTGGGAGAGGGGGACCTAAAAATTTATGCCGTTCCCACTGGAGGAAAAGTAGGGGCTGTTCAGCAGGGGCCCACCAGACGAAGAGCCAAACCTGGAAGACAAAGAGGACGGGTGTCATGATGAAATTCTTAATGTTGGTGGAGATATTAGGAAAAATATTATTTTAATTTTGTGGCTGTCAGAGACTGTCACCATCAGGACAGGCTTAGAGGATAAAAGCTCTCAGCATAATAAAAATGCTTTGGCTCTGGGAAAATAAGATATGAAACTGATACAAGTGGAGGACAATACAGAGCTTTTTTCTGCCACTAACTTAGATCAGGAAGCCCCCAGCAGTCTGTGGGGATCATTTCTATGGAGCCTACGCTCTCACCATATCCAGGAGCACAAAGCAGGGACCCTCTCTGGATCCGAGCACCTTACCTGTGGTCCTGCAGCCACTCTGCCTGCTGAAGAGGACCAGGTGTGTCCTTCAGGAAATTCCACAACCACAGAGAATCCAGGCCATGTCCCAGAGGGAGATCTGGGAGTCCCGACAATCCCAGGGCTCCTCCTCTTACCAGTGCCAAACTAACCCAGGCTCTTTGTTTCAGCGCCAGTTCAAGGAGGAGGCACTGAGACATCACCGCGTGCCTGGGAGCTTGCTAGACCCTCTGAGAAGCAAGAGCCGAGAAGATCGGAGCCTCACCCTTCTAGAGCAGAAATAGGCACACTTCTGCTTTTTCTCCCAGGCACACTCCTATCCATACCTCTAAAGAGAGTTCTAAAGCCATCTCCTCCGAGAAACCTTCCCTGACCACTCCAGATGGAATCATTTACTGGATCCTACTGCAATTTCCTCGCCCATCTGCTAGGATACTTGGAATAAATGAGGGCAGAGCAAATGACTAGATTTAGTCTAATCCAGGAGTTCTCACTCACTCTTCAGCTGGGCAGAGGCACATCACAGAAGCTGTTCACATTCATGGCACTCTCCCACGAACTGAAAAAATGACGGGGGGCGGAGGGGGGCGGGGAGGAAAGAAGCAATGGGAACAAACCGTGGCATTAGTTTGTAATGCCTCAGCTTCTATCAGTGTCTGTCGCTCTCCGAGTATCTGTGGACAAGCTGGGCTTTGGATTATGCTTAATTCCCTTCTCACTAAAATAGATTCCATGAGAGCAGGGGCATTATCTGGACTGCCCAGCATTTCACACCCAGCGCCAAGCCCAGGACCTGGCACAAGGTAGGTGCCTGATAAGCAATTAATGCCGTCAGTAACCCCACCTCTTTTTCTTTCAAAAATCACATTGGGATGTAAATGATTGAAAGCAATGTTACTGTAGAGACAGCCTGGATTCTACTCTGATTTATAAAATAAAAGCTGTAATTGCCAGTAACAAATTACTCAGGGCAGACCTCGCATCTGATCACCATACCCCATGCATCTAGCCCTTCTTGTGTTGAGATCTGATCAGATCAGCTGCCAAGGGCATGGTCTCGACAGGATGGACACTGAGGGTCAGGAAGAGAGGTAGTCCATGTGGATGAGAGTTATCAAGTAATACTTCCTGGAGGAAGAAGGCAGAGCTTGAATTGCCTCTTGAGCATGCTGACTTGTCCTGGTTGGCCTGAGACAGTTTCTGCACTGGTATTTCCAGTGCAATTATTATTTGTATACTCCTTTTAACTCATTACTGTTGTTTAGAAGATAAATTGTATGGTTATTGTACCCTGATGAGTGTATGCAAATCGATTTGGCAGAGGGAAGGGAGGGCTCCCCTGCTACTTCCCTGAGAACGCGGAGCCACCTGCTCCTTCCTCTCCTGCTTTGTGAGGTCTAGTCTCTGGGTCCTCTCCTTCGCTCCTGACCCAGAGGAAGCACTGACCCTCCCTGTCTCAAAGACTAAACTGTCCACCTAGGTCCCGTATCCTTCCCTGCCCAGAGCAGCCTCTCCTAGACCTTGTTCCATCCAGGACCCCTGGTAACCCTCCAACGCGACACCACTGCTGTGCTCAGTGTTCCCTCCTACAGCGCCTGGGTTTTGGTCTCGTCAGCCTGTGACCCCCTCCTTCTCTGCTCCAGGAAATAATTTCTTCAGTTGGCTTCCTGCACTCCCCAGTCTCTTCCATATTTTCTTCCACCTTACACAGCTCCTTCTTAGACCTTTGTTGGTCCCTCCACATCTCCCCAACCTCTCCACATGCTGAAGGCCCAGGGCCCAGGCCTTGGGCCTTGTCTCTCCTCTGTGTACACGCACTGCCTGGGCCAGCTCATCCCATCCCAAGGCTTTAAATGTCATCTACAGGCTAATGACTCCCAGGTCTCTATGACCAGCGCCAACCTCTGCTCTGAGCCCCGGACTCGTTAGCCATCTGCCTCTCACGGCTCCACTCACATCGCAGATCTGACGCACCCCAAACCACACTCCTGATCAACAGATCTTGGCTCTAGCCTTCACAGCTTCGGCGTTTTGGCATTGCCACTTACCCAGTCACTCAGATCAAAACCTAGGAATCATGCTCGATTCCTCTTGTCCTCATTCCACATCCAACCATCACTAAGTCCTTCCACCAAGACAATAAACACTCCAGAGCTTTCACTTGTCCCCTGTCCCACTGTCACTACCGTAGTCCACACCAGGAGCACCTCTTGCTCAGGCAGCCACAGAAGCCCTATCCTGCACTCCTGTGGCGGCTCTGACCCCACAGCCCAATTTCATCCCATGGCCCATGTCATCTTCTCTAGATAGAAGACTAGACCATGTCCTCACCAATTTGAAAGTCATTTTAATGGCTTCCCACTGCTCTTTAAAAACCTCTGTACTGTGCCTACCACGTCCTATCTGGTCTGGCCCTGGCTACTCCTCTGATTTCAACCTCGCCCACTCTCTCTCCCACTCACCGTGCTCCAGCTACATTTCCCTCGTGGGGCTCCTGCACTTCCTCTCCTTCCTGCCCACAGACATGACTGGTTCATTCTCTCACCTTATTTAGCTCTCAGCTCGAGCGCCTCCCCTCCCTCCCTCTCCCCGCACCCCAGCACCTGGCCTGTGTGACGCGTGTTCATTTCCCGGTTGTTTTTTCTCCCCTTCCAAGGAGAGTGACAAAAGGAAGACCGGGACCCAGTGCCTACAACAGTGCCGGGAGCACAGAAGGTGCTCAATGAATATTTTCTGAATGAACAAACTGTTCCTTCTGGGGGCACAGGCCTATACCCCTTGCTTCCCTTTTCCCACCTTACTTTCCAGGTCTCCTCCTCCTCTGCGGCCACCATTCCACCCTGCTGACGGCCGCCACCACTCCTGTCGCTCTCCGCCTTAGTCTGTGATGTGTCCACCTGGCCCCAGGCTCCCTCCCATTTCCAAGACTGCTTCTTCCTCAGCCTCCTGCTCGTTCCTTTTCCTCTCCCAGCCCCTACAGACAGCCAGGTCTCAACCCTCCGTCCTTACTGCTCCCAGTCAGTGCTTTCCAACTGCTGACTGATGCAACCTCAGGATCACGCTCCCTCCCAAGTACATACAGCCAGTTCCACAGCGAGCCTCTCTTTCCTTGAGCCCAGAGTCACAGCGTGGAATGTGGGAAGTTTGCTGGCCTGCTGGTCGTCTGTCTTGATGCCTCTGCAGCCTCATTAGATCCTCAGGTCTAGCAGCCAGAAGTCTCTAAGAATGCAGTCCCAGCCTCCTTTTTCCAATCCTATTTTCCACCTTTTTCAAGGATAAATCTAGTAATTCAAACAGATGCCTTTATTCCCCAGGCCTCAAGCTTGCCACACACCTTGCAAGCTGGGGCCTCACTCCTCCAGCCTGGAATGCCCTTCTCCAACCGCTGCTCACTGCAGCCCCCCACACTGTCCACCCAGCAGAGATCCTTCCTCTGTCCTCAGGCCACGTTGATGGTCTTCAATTTGTCACGGCTCTAACATCAGGGTGCCTACAGCTCACTCATTCTCAGCTCTCCGATGGGAGGCACTGTGTCCTAATCGCCTATGGCCCCCCACAGACTGAAGTCATACGAATTATGTGAATTAATGCAGAGATTTTTAATGCCCTACAAGAAGAAAGAAGAAAAAAGCGGGAGGGAAGGAGGAAGGGAAGGAGGGAGGAAGGCAGAGAGGGAGGGAGGAAAGATGAAAGAAAAAAAGAAAGCAAGAGAAAAGCAGGGCTGTGGGTTTGGGGTTCAAATAACACTATCGATCACCCTTTTGGACATTCTCCATGCACCTTTGGAAATTAAATGGTCTGAGAATTCCAACAGTTAAGAAATGTGTTTATCTTTGTTTTGCACAGCTCTTCCCAAACAGATCTGACTATGGAAACCTCTTTCTAGCCTTTATTCCTTTACATGAGACACTCGGGGAGATGCTGATTTGAAAAGGTGAGAGTTTGGGGACACACACCAACACTGTAGTGAGGCTGTGATGGGGAGGTGGGGAATCGATGTCAGATCGGCAAGTTTGGCCCCAATTCTATAAACCCAGTTTCTCAAACTGGGTGCACATTTCCCAGGGTGAGCGGAGAGAGTCGGAGTCCCAGGGGCGATTTGCCTGCCTCTCAGGGTATTCATACCAGTTGAAGATTTGTCGAGTGAGAATGAGCGGCTCTGTGTTGTTACATTAAAACAACAAACACACATTTCTGGCCTAAGCAGCAAGTGACATTTGTGTGGGATTTTCGGCTAACAGGTTGGGTTTGTGTTGGCTGTTTGCTGCTGAGCCCCTCTCCTCTGCTGTTTGGGTACTTTGGCGGGGATGTATGAGCAGCCCTGATAAGCAGTGAAAGATCCTTCAGTGGGGCCTGCCGAGAAGTCAGTGGGATGTTCAGGAGATTAGCCTGGCGAGGAGCAGAGTGCAGGGAGCGGGGGGAGAGCTGTAAGAAGATTACCTGGCCATGTCCTGTTGTAAACCAAGCAAATGCGTAAAGGCAAATGCACCAGGCTCCACCACCCGCCACCTGCTGTGTTGGATGCCGACTGTGCAATGTAGCCCTGAAATGGGCCAACGGAGGGGCCCACCAGGCCTCAGACCCTGCTCTCCTCCACACCAGGTCCTTCCAGGACCCACACAACACCCAGATACAGGCACAGGGGCCTCCCCGCCCCACAGCAGTGAAGCCCAGCATCCTTGCCTCCCCTCTCCAGCAGCTTCCTAGCTATAAGCTGGACTTCCAGTGCAGGCCAAGGACTCACCCGTATGGCTGGGGGAAGAGGAACTGTGGCCCATCTCCTGCCATGGGGGAAGGGTCTCGGGGGTTGGTGGACAGCTTCGGAGGTGTCCTCTGAGGGTATGGATAGTTGGGCTGGACGAAGGGGATGTAGCTCAGCAGAGGGGTGTAGGAAGAGCGGAAAATCTGCTGTCCCATTTGCAGTGGGTTGTACGGCGTCACCTGCAGGTCAAAGAGGAGAAGGCCAAGGTCCAGCAGAGCCCACCACTTCCAAACATCGTGTTGTTCCCCAACCCTAACTCTAACCCTAACCCAGCCCCAGCCCTCAGCCCTGTGCCCTTTGGTCACTGTGGAAAAAGCACAGGGCTCCACTTCTCTACGTGATCTTGACAAGTGAATAAATTTAGCTGAGCCTCAGTTTCCTCATCTGTAAAGTGGGCAAACACTGTCTCTGTTGTATGGGGATGGAGTCAGTTGATGTGAGTAAAGAATCTGAGACATAATAAGTAGCAAATATATTTCCATTCTCTTCCCTGCCCACCCCCCTTTTCCCTCTGTCAATAACCATCCACAAAGCCCCTTAGTCATCCTTAAGTCTTCAACTATCTAAAAATAAATAAAAAAAAGCTGTTGAGATAGAAATATCCCTGGCTTCCAGCTCAGGATCTCAACAGGCTCTAGGTACAAGATAGCCTTGCCCAGCAGGATTTCCCGTGCTGGGTGCTGGAAATGTCCTGTATGTGCACTGCCCAATACGCGGCCACCAGCCACATGTGCCTACTTGAAATGTGGCATGTGAATAAGGACCTGAGTTTTTCATTTGACTTGATTTTAATTGATTTAAATTTAAATAGCCACACATGGCTAGTGGTTACAGCACTGGACAGTGTGAATCTAGGAGAAATGGCAAAAAAAGGGGCAACAGAATTCAGCTCAGACCCTAGAGAAAAACAGGAACTCAGCAGGGTTTTGGAAACCACCTGCATCATACTCCCACCAAAAACCAGGGCTCCTACAATCACGCCCCTGGCAAGGCAGGAACCCCATCTGTCTTATCTCCTGATATAGTTTTAGTCCAAAGATAGTGCCTGGCACACAGTAGCTGCTCAATGAACATATGTTGAAGGAGTGCAAGAAAGAAAGAGAGAGGAAGTGGAAGGAGGAAACAAGAGGCTGCAAAGTGTCTGCTTGAATACCTAAAATGACACAGAGCTCGTTACATTATGAGCACTGTATTCCACCGCCGACAGCTCAGAATGTCAGAGAGCCCTCTCCTGTACGAGGCTGACGTCCACCCTCCTGTGTGCTAGGGCAGCTTCAGTCAAAACTGGGGAAGCTTCTGGATCTGCACTTTAATAGCAGGAGTCTGGGGTCCAGGCTGCTTGGGGACTCAGCATGCTGACAACCTTCTCTCACCCTGCACAGTCTTATCGAAGGCACCATTCACAGATGCTGGCGCCCACTGAGAGCTTAGGGCATGCCCTTCACATGGATTCTCTCGTTTAGACTCCAAACAGCCCTGAGCGGTAGGACCATTAGTGTTTCCATTTTCGAGCTGAGGAACCCGGGGTTCAGAGAAGTTCAGCGGCTTGCCTAGTGTTGCGTACCTCTGTGCTTGCTCCCTCTGGAGGCCTGAGCCCCTCCCTCCCGGCCCTCCCCATATGTCCCCCAGTGGACGTATAGGGTCTGTGAAGCTGTACACAGGCACCAAAACCCCAAGGTGATAACTAACGGTCAGAAAGACCCGAGAGCTTACAGAGAGGACACAGAAAGGCTCCTCCCAGGTCAGCGTGGCAGAAAATACCCCTGGTTTTCACAGGGGTGAAAAGGCGGACCTGGGAGGAGACTAACATGAAAGACAAGTTTTATTCAAAAACGTGCTCCAAACTACACATAACTGATAAAAACCATAAAACAGAGCTGTGTATACTGCTCTGGAACCGTCTCCCAGACAGATGTTTTGCTGACAAAAGCGGCGAGAGAGCACCGCCCCAGAATTCCACCTTTGTACAAAAATGTTTGTATAAATAGACATCACTAGGATAACACCTAAGGAACCAGTAACGGTGATTGCCTCTAAGAGTGATGTGCTCACATTACTTTCTCAAATACATAACTTTGTCTAAAAACATCCTCTTTGGAACTAGGTAGATGGTACCGCTGCTCATGGGGTGGAGGTTACATGGCTGAGATTCTGTGAGCCAGGCTGTCTGTTCTCCCTCCATCTCAGGATGCAAAGCTCCCACTGCTGAAAAAGCAGTAGTCCTGGCCCAAGTGATAAAATAACCTATACCCGCCCTGGCCGGTTTCGCTCAGTGGTTAGAGCATCGGCCCACGGACTGAAGGGTTCTGGTTCAATTCCAGCCAAGGGCTCAGACCTCAGTTGCAGGCTTAACCCCCAGCCCTGGTCAGCACAGGAACAGGAGGCAACCAATCGATGTGTGTCTCTCACATCGGTGTTTCTATCTCTCCCCCCCTTCCACTCTCTCTGAAAAGCAATGGAAAAAATATCCTCAGGTGAGGATTATAAATAAATAAACAAATAATAACCTATACCTGCAGTCCCTTCTCTACCTTCTGGAACATTCTAATATACTTCAAGCCAGAGGTGCAGTTTGCAGGGAAAGGGTGGGGCTCCCTGGGGAGAGAGGAGAGGCCAAGGAGTCGGTGAGTTTGAGCGTGAGCCTGTCCACCTGTGTATGTGGGGGGCAAGGCCAGCCCGAGGATGTAGCAGGTTCCACGCTCCTTTCCTCACAGCCCCACCCCCACTCCAGGACGCCCGGCACCTCTGAGCGCGCTGCTTCATGTTTGGTGTGTGCCTGCATGGTGCACACACAGCTCGGTGGCATGTGTATAACTCTTTCTTTGTGACTCTGTGTATTTTTGTCTCTCCTTTATCTTGATACTGTATTTCTGTGTATCTACATGAGAGGCAGTAAGCCACTGTGATTGGGACCATGGACCCTGAAGCCAGGGTGCCCAAGGTCAAACCCCGATTCTGCCATTGTGACACTGTCAGGCAGATATTCACCCCTAGTCTTCCCCTGGGAGTAGGGGTGCCAGACAAAAATACAGGACATCCAGTTAAAGTCAAATTTCATGTAATTTAATCTCAAGTGGATTAATTGATATCAAATAATATTTTAGTACAAGTATGGCCTGGGCAATATTTGGGATATACTTATACCAAAGCTTTATTCACTGCTTATCTAAAATTTGAATTTAACTGGGTGTCTTGTATTTCAGCTGATAAACTGCCGGGAAGGATCATGATTTCCCAGCTCCACTGTTGCTGGGCAAAGCCACGGAAGGCGGAGTCCCAGCTCGGAGCTGAGGCTCCAGGGGCACTGGGTGTTTCTGCCTACCCTTCCTGCTCTCCTGTCATACACCGTGGCAGGAGCAAAAGCTACTGTATCGTTAGCACACGCCCAAAGGGGAACACATGGAACGGCTTGAACCCAATCCCAGCCCAGCTCAGCAATCCACAGACCATGAGTGAAAAATATTTATTGTTGAAAGTCTGTGAGATATTGAGGCCATTTTCTGCCACAGCAAAAGCTAATTTATATGCCAACTTTATGACCTTGAGCAAGTTATTTAATCTCTCTGGGCCTCAGCTTCTTCCTTTCTAACTGACCTTATAGGATGGTTGTGAAGGTTAAATTAGTTAATGCAGGCGAAGACCTCAGAGAAGAGCCTGGCAGCAGTAAGGGCTCTGTAAGCGCCAGCTGTCATTATCACCTGGGGAGGCCGGTTTGCTTCCATGCGCATGTTGGTATTTGTGTGTACTCTGGTCCAAGGCTGGGTCAAAAAGTATGGCTGGTGACCAGGTCAAAGGAGCAGATGTCCTTCCGACCTAAAGGCCTTTGTGAGGCTGGGACAGAGGTGGGGAGGTCATGTACTCACCTGTCGGGGGTAACACCCCAGCTGGGGGTGCAGGGTCTGCTGATAGGGCATCCTAGCTGCCCGCTGTGGGTATAGGCCCTAGGGAGAGAAAGAGAGGCTCAGTGCCATGGGCAAGGGGCTCCCAGTCAAAGGGCAGCCACTCAACTCAGTTTCCAGCACACATGCCTGGATCTCCAGACACAGCTGAGTCCATCCCACCACACTGCCAGCCAGACTCCTTGGGCAGCCACCGCACTGGCAGCAGGCGCCAGGTCCAGCTGGCATCAGGCCAGGCATGCACAACTCACACCAAACAGGAAGGCTGCTTAGCAGGATTCACAGCTTTTTGGTGAGTATTTAAGGTAAGAGCTTCAGGAACCTGACTGCCTCTTAAATCCCAGATCTGTCCCTTAGTGGCTGTGTGACCTTGGGCAAGTCACTTCACTCTCTGAGCCTCTTTTCCCTTGTCTATATAAAGCCTGTGAAGGTAGCCAAATTCTCTTTATTGCTGTCTATACCCCTTTGCTAAGTTCCTTTCCCCAAACCCCATTCCTGCCCTAAGACATAAGGTGTCCATGTACATCTGTGTGTGTGTGTTAGTTTTGCACCCACTTAATTAGGCACATCTGTGTGTACTTGCTTTTGTGTCTACAGCTGTGTGTTTCTGTGTGCAAATGTGCAGCTGTGAACCCAGGTGTATTAGTTTGGGTCTCTGCTATGTGTCCATATGCCCACACACGCCTGTATCTATACTTTATGATGAGGACTGGTGCGATGACAAATGAGTTAATGCATTTGAAGGGCTTAGAGCAAAGGAATCTGCATATGTTATTTTTTAGTATCTCTCACTGTACACCTCCCCCCACATGCACGAAGAGGTTCTCTGGTAGCTCAGCCAAATGAGGAGTAAAAAATTTATTCACAACTGTCCAGGGTGGCCTTGGGTGTCTATGTGTAGACACACACACACACACACAGCAGAACAGCTCCTGTGGGCGGGGCAGCCCAGGACCCCTCGAGTCTCACACTGCCTCTCCCTGCCAATCCAGAGCCACCTCCTAGGATTCAGCTCAACCCTCAAAGCACTACTAGACTAGGATGTCTTTCCAGAAGATTTCGCACCCTGGATGCCACCTCCATTCTGGGCTCACCTTGTGCGAGTTATCCAAGTGTCCACGGCTGACACTGTGCCCTTGACTACTTCCTCAGAGCCATGGGGTCCTGATGTGGGGTCTGGGGGAAGCCTCCCAGCTCTTCTAGTGCCCATCTTCCAGATCCCCAAGAGCACACATCCTCTCAGAGCCCCTCCTTGCTCTCTACTCCCGTGTACCTGCCACATGACCAAGGTGTGGTGCCCCTCCCACTTCCACCAATCCCTTCACCTGAAACCAGTGCCCCTGCTCCTTTTTTCTCTAAGCCCGGGACAGCCCCACTTACCACCATGACCACAGCCTGGTCCCTGCACTTGAGCCGTGGCCTGAGCCTGGACAGAAAGGTCAGACAGAGGGGGCTGCACTGCCTGTTCCCAGGCCTCAGTGAGCTCTAAGGCCACAGTCTCGGTGTCACTCCTCTGCTTCAGTCCCTCCTCCACCCCTCCATCCCCTTAGCACGCAGCTCTGCTTTGCACAGCCAGCGCCTCCAGGCCCCATCCTCCCCAGGCTGGCCTGGGCTAGGCTAGCCCAGGATCTGTGCAAGACAAACAGCTGCCATCCCAGCTCTGTCCTGGGCCAAACTTTCAGGACACAGTGACATATTCATTAGTATAAGCAACACTATGTGACTTTAAGGACACTTCTAGTTGTTCGAATTGCAATTCTGTAAAATCACAAGCAAGGGTAAATAAACTTTCATTCTTCTTTGCTCGAGGCCATGGCCTCCTCCAATGCATCCGCCCTCCTTACTGCAAGCGGAGTTCATGCCAAGCAGCCCAGGAGCCTCTGAAGACTGGGGATTTAGTCTTCCAGGCTTGTGTCCGGCCACAGTGGCGCCCTGAGGAAACTGGATTTGGGACCTCATCTTTATTCCCAATGCCAAGAGGGAAAAGAGACCAGAATAAACTGCCCCTGTTCTCTCTGTCTCTTCAAGGTCTATGGAGCTCCCTGACCCTATTTCCAAGGAAGATCAGGGCTGGAGACTAATAAAAACCAACACCTGTGCCATACTTTAGGTTTTACAGAGCCCCTTCCCATCCATGGGCCCAATGAACCTTACAACCGATCAAATGGCCGCCGCTGCTGCGGTAATTATACTGAGCCCATTTCACAAGCGAGGAAACCAGGGCTCAGAGCATTTGCCTAGCTTGCCAGAGGCCACAGAGCTTGGAAGCAACTCGGGCAAGTCGGCTGATTGCAAACCTGACTTATTTTATGATCCCAGGCCCCTTGATCATGAGGAGCTGGGAGAAGGTAAATTATGCTGCCCTCCTTTACCACCTGGGAGGGGGGCCACTTCTACAGTCCTCTTTAGTCGGGCCCAGTCGGCGTCTACACTGCCTGGCAGTACCCAGGGGTCCTACCAGCAAGGGCCCTCCACCGCTTGTGCCCAGAGGCCAGCGAACCTGGGAGTCAGCCCTGCATTACAGACACAGGCTTCTCTTAAGACAAAGGTAGGATATAAAACAGAAGCACCAACTGAGCAAACAAAACAAACTCACAGACCATAGTATGGTGGTTTCTGGAGGGGAAAGGGGGTGGGGGGAAGATGAAGAGGAGAAAGGGGGTCAAATATATGGTGACAGAAGACTAGCCTTTGGGTGGCGAGCACGCCATGCAATAAACAGATGCTGTATTATAGAATTGTACACTTGAAACATACATAACGTTATTAACCCATGTTACTCCAATACATTTAATTTTTAAAAATACATGTCCAAATCTCCCCACTCCAAAAGGTCAAGTCAGAAGAAGTCGGCAAAGCAAAGCGGTATTATCTGCACTTCAGAAAGCAAACCGTTGTGAGTGAGCTTTCCACGGCGAGCCCGGAGAGTGCGTGTTAGAGGGATGGGTTCACATTGAATAGAGTGATGCAGTCGTTTCTCTTTCCATAGCGGGGGGCACACAGTGCCGGTCTGGGGGCGGTTCCTGGCTTGCTCTGGACACCAGGCTTCTTGGTCGCCTTGAATCCCCTCACCTTGCCAATGCCTGCCTACTGTCAGTGCGAAGCAACGGTTTTTTAAATTATTTAAATAAATGGTAAATAAATAGATGAGCACGTCAGTGAGTAGGTGAAGAAATGAGTCAAGAGCGGAGGAGCACACGCACACATGTGAGGGGGGAGCGAGTCCCAGTGATGGACTTGCTGAGCCAGTGAGCACACAAACAGGGGCCTGTGCGGGGACAAGGTGTGGAAAGGACACACTTTGATTTCCCCTGGATCACCATTCACGATCACCTCTCACCTCGATGGTGGGGCAGGCAGCCTTCTGTCCCGCGTGACAGGGCAGGAACTGTTCTCTTAAGCAAACAAACAAAAGTCTTGAAACCAAAACTTTGGAGAGAAAAAGAGAGATTTTGCTAAACTCCTTTAGCTCCTGTTTAAGAGTCAGGGGCTAAGTCTGCTGGACCAGCTCAGAGAGGCTTTATATGGATTGAAGAAGACAGCTGGGCTCTGTTGTAGAGGAGGAAATGACATAGGGACCGAGGGGCGGTGGAGGGGCACAGAGACAGGACAAGAAGACTTTCAGGCAAGTTTCTGTCTCTATTTGCCCTCTGCAGGCTTTGCCCAGCCAGCCCAGGGCAGCAGATTCTCAAGAGCGTGGCCCACAAGTTGGTGTGCGCTCCCACCTTTCCCACACACCAACACGCCACTCTGGAGAGGAGCCAGGGAGGGGACAGAAGACAGGAATCTTAGACACTGAGCAGCTTTCCTGGACAAGCTGAGCACTACCTGAAGGGACTATTAAGCTATTGGATTGGACTATGGTTTAAACCAGAGTGGACATTTATTTCATTTTTTCCTCCTTCTACCCAGTGGGCGGCAGCTCTTAGGGGAGATTAAATAGACGAACTACAGAAACTACATTTTCTCTGTATAATAAGTTCTGTGAGTAAAATTTCCAACTCCTGCTACGCGTGTTTCACCATCCCTTTGTGTCTGGCTGGCTACTAATATCATTTCAGCTACAAGCCCAAGACCAGGCACGCACACCAACTTAGCGAAGTCAGCTGGGACGAAGTTTAAATGAAGCGGCCACATCATTTGTCATCCACACCAGGACACTTGCGAGTAAAAGGGTGCTATTCATAATTATTCTGGGACAAAAGACCTCAACTGGAAATGTCCCGAGTAATCTAGGATACATGTCACCTGACTATCAGGAAAGTCACAGGAAGTGGGAGGGGGGGAACTATGCTGTCATTCTACCCTGGGAGCCTCACCATTTAACAGGCCAGAACTAGCAATGCAACCCTGGAATACATAGCCAGAGTGGACTGGAATTGGGACAAAGAAAATTAGAAATACATATGGATATCCATGTGCATGCACCTGTGCACCTGTGTACCAGGCAGTTGGTCTGCTGCGGCCACAAGGAAGAGATGAAGTAGTGTCAAGGCTCTCCGTGAGCTAGGCTTCCTGCCAGCAGAAGCTCCTCCGTGGTGGGAACCTGCATGGGTGGCCACCTGGAGAGCCAGGCGCAGGACCCGCTCACTCACCTGATACTGTGGGAAGGTGGAGTGATTAGTAAACGCTGGCGGAGGTGGATAGTTCAGGTTCAGCCAGAGTGGCTGGTTCAGGGATGCTGAGGTCAAGGTGGTGGCAAAGCGTGGGGTGAAGACGTTCCCTGTGTACTTGAGGTTGTTCTTGTCCGCCACCGTCACAGGTGAGTTAACTGTAAGTCATAGGAGAGAGAGAGTGTTTCAGAGACTGAAGAAAGGAGAGCCCAGGACAGCCTCAGCTCGACTGTCCCTGGGATTAATATTCTCAGAGGTCAGGTCTTTTAAGCTCCTCTTGGTTCTTTAAGTTCCGGTGAATTTCCAACTATAGGAAAACATCATTAATTCATGCCTTGCCAATTCGGAAGGGGTGAGATTCCCCGCTGGGTCTGCCTTGGAGCTTCTCTCCCCATCACTCACAAGTAAAGGAGGCAGTGTCGAAAGTGCACACAATAAGCCAGATTGCTGTGACTATACCTCACCGACATTCAAAACCAAGTTCTTTCAAGTGCTTTAGAAAAATCTAGTTTTATATGAGCAATTGCTATGCCACTGGAAGTCATTCTTATCAAATTATTAAAGCAGCCCCCTGAGGACCTTGCACAGCTTGTTATACCTATGTTGGAATTATTTTTTTTTAAATATCTGAAAATGTTACATAATTAATTCACTATGGTATGACCCAAAGTTAGACTGAAAGAATGAGATTTGGTTGAGTTGTTTCAGAATACAAATCCTTAATTCTCTCCCTCAACAAGTCTTGTGGGCTTATAGAGTCAGAGATGGGGCCTCAGTTTCCCTTTATTGGCATCTCTTTTGGGAAAGGAAGTTTGACTAGAACAGTTATAGGAGTGAGAGAAAGCAGAGACATAAATAGTCTCGATGCACAAATAATCTGAAGCGTGGATTTTTCTTTGTCTTGGGCAACTTGAGGAGATAGACTCAATCAGGTCTGTGTTTGAATTGACCTCCAACAATGCCCATGTGACCCCTCAAAGCCAACAGCATTTCTCTGACAGTTGTATTCAGGATAAGAGACACAGGGAGAAAGTCATTTCTCCCATTTTATAGGTTTCACAACTGACACCCAGAGCAAGACAATGACCTGCCCATGGATGAGAGAGCCATTGAGTGGCCGAACGCTCCCAGGGCCCATGAGGGTTCCTGACTTCCCTTCTACCGACTCTCTCTGGGCAGGGTCAGCTTACATTTCAGCTCCAGCCCATCCACCTCTTTGCTGCGAAGCCTCAGCTGCCCGCCTGGGTTTTTGGTGGCCCCAAGGAACTCATAGAACAGGGTCTTCTCAGTGGGCCATGCAGACTTCTTGGCCGGCAGGGCCATGGACATGGAGCCCACGGGGTCACTGCAACTCTCCTCACCACAGATGTCCTTCTGGCTCTGGGGCCACTGACTGAGGAAGAGGCTCTCTCGACCCTTGGTTGGCTCCTTGGCACCTGAGTTCCGTTCTATAGGAGGAGGGAAACTGAGTCAATGATTATAGAAGGCCAAGTGCTAGATGAAGCAGGGGCAGGGCACCTTCTTTAGACTAAGTGATGGATCTTCCATAGCACATACCTCAGGCTCACACTACTCTAGGGTCGCTCTCCCCACCAAGTCCAATCCCAGTCTCCTCCCTGAGGCTTTCACTGACCACTGCCCACTCTCGTCCTTACCTCTCATGAACTCCTTCTTTTTATTTTTTTGGTAATCCTCACCGGAGGATACTTTTTCCATTGAATTTTTTTTTGAGAAAGAGGGAGGGAGGGGGAGAGAGAAAGAGAAAGAGACAGCAATTGGTTGCCTCCTGCACATGTCCCAGCTGGGGCCAGGGATCAAGCCTGCAACCCATGTATGCACCCTTGACAGGAATTGAACCCATGACCCTTCCGTGCATGCATGGGCCGACACTAACAACTGAGCAACCCCAGTCCCCTAGGGAATGAACTCCTTTCTTTATTCCTCCCATCCACCCATCCTTTCTCCCTCCCTCCCCTCCTTCCTTCTGTCTTCCCTTCCTTCCTCCTTGTCTTCCTTCCTTCCTTCCTTCCTTCCTTCCACCCCTTCTTCCCTCCTTTCCTTTTTACTTACTTTCTTTCTACCCTCCCTCCTTTTTTCCAACCCTCCATAGTGCCAGGTTCCAGGTAAGAGCTGACTTGGACACAGTTCTTGCCTCAGGGAGCACCTGGCTTGGTGGGGGTGACACTGGTTCCCACAGACACGTGGCCTAAGCCACAGCAGGGCCCCTCATTGTGGACTCTGCTCCTGCTCTGATGCTCACAGGTGATTCAGCTCGCTCGTCAGTGCCAGGCCCTGACCTGAGTACTGGGGACACTGTGATGAGTCAGAGCCAGACTTGGCCCCATAGGAGCTCACAACAAGGAGGAAGAGAGAGACAGGCCCAGAAATAGCTCTGGGACAAGGCAGATGGGGCCTGGGAGGTGACAGAGAGACACAGTGGGAGGAGAAGGTGGCTGAGGAAGCTTCTGTCTGAGAGGGTCAGAGGGCTTCCAGGAGGAAGTGGCCCTTCAGCAAGGCCTTACGTCCAGGGGCACGAGGGAGGGGGCATGACAGGCAATGGGTGATTCCAGGCCAAGGCCAGGAGTCATCAGTGAGTCACAGGACATGGTCAGTGCCAGGCCTAAGTCTCTCTCCAAATGGACCAAGCATTGCCCCAGTGTGAGGACACTGTCTCGAAGATCATGGGCCCCTGCACAGCAGCGGTCTTCACCCCTACTTCCTTTTTAGCAATGGAACTCTTTCTTCAAACAAAATTAAAAGGTCATTGCTTGGTTGAAACAGGGAAGAGGCCTTGACCCTCTGGGCACCCTTCACTCCTTCCCCAGCCTGGGGTCCTGGTCTCCATGAGGCTTGGTTGGGAAATGGCACTCGACACAAAGCCCACACCTTGGATCATTTTGGCAGCTTCCAGATCAGGGGAACTTGTGTCCAGTGTTACTGCTGGGAGTGGATCTTATCCCCCCAGGTCTTGTTCCCTCGCCTCCTTCCCAGCCCAATGGCCTTAGGGCTAAGCCTGGGCAGGATTGGGCCTGTCCTCCTAGCGCTATCCCAGCAAAAGAGAGAGCTGCTCTAGCCCGAGTCAATTTAGGAGAAAAATGACATTTTTAGCAAAACATGTCCCTAGAGTCCCTTCCAAGAGTTTCTCTGGTTGCTGAGTTTAGCCCCCAGCTAGTGCACTGAAATAACAGTACCCACTAATAATAATAACCCTTTCCCCAGAGACCTGCATACCTGCAGTCTCTCGCACACACCTTAAACATGCCTGCCACTCACTCATCTCCAAGGCCCCCTCTTCTAGCATCTGTGTGCCCAGACACACACACAGACCCACACACTGTCACTCCTTTGACTTACTCGCATGCACACAACTCCACACACAGGATGGACACACACACAAACACATACACAGGCACACTCAGATGCAGCCACACCTGCATTTTCTCTAACAAATATACTCACACCTGCAAAACTCCCTTTGGTATACCTATGCCCACCCATTCACACAGATATGATGGGGAGGGCGGGTGGAGAGATATCCATGCAGGCCTCCTGGAGGAGGAGGTGAAAGAAAAGTCCCCTCCTCCAGGCAGGGCTAATCCTCTCACACATACTGCCCAGCAAACCCAAAGAGCCCCCGGCTCCTAGAGGCCTGCCCAAGACCCAGAGGCCAGCTTGCTGTCCACTTGATTCCTTGGCCTTCCCACAATGCTCATCACACAGAATGTTCTCAAGGGTGACCACGCCTGATTTCCTTAGGAACATGGATCTGGGCCCTCTCAACATGGGTATCTCTCAGTGACCCTTTCATGCTCACAGACTAGGGATACATTTTCTGTTGGTTTACTCCTAGTGAAAGCTGACTGTAGGCAGGTGCCACTGCCATCATCTGCTTCTTGGAACCATCCATTCTGAGTGGCTGAATTAGAACAGGCACAAAATGTAGAACCTGGGTGTGGGGTGGGGGAAACTTGGGAGGTGGCTGCATCTCCTGGGAACGATGTGGACTCCTCAAGTAGGGGATGGAAAAGCACTTTCCTAAGGCCCTGGGGGTGCTGGGAACAAATCCCAGGGCCAACAGTCTCAACTGCACTTTGAGAATTTACATATTCACTCCCAGCCCGAGAGAAGGCCAGGCCTCACTGTCAGAACAGGCGCCTCCACGGGAGCTAATAACCCCAGCTGCCAATCAAATCTCTTTCCTACCCTGCTTAAAGTCCCCATTCTGCAGCTCCACCCAGGACTCAGCTGGGTAAGGGCTTCCCTCAATGTACTCTGGGTACCCGGTGGACTCAAACACGAGCCAGGTGCCAAATGTGCCTGCCCCTCTTCTCAAAGCATGTTGGAATGAGCTGTGCCCTGTACATAGGCATCCAGCCCAGAGGGCACATGGGCACTGAAAACACTGCACCCAGGGGCTGTGCCCACTGGAGAGGCCACCTGGTCCGTCCTACTCTGCATGAAGATGCTGCGTGCACTGCAGCAGCTGACTGGCTTTCTGGTAAGTTTCTTCTCCTCATAGGCCCACTTGCCAGCCCTGCTTTCAGCCCCACTCACCCATCATCAAGTGGTGCCCCTCTATGTCGGGGTCTGCCTCAGGCTTGGAGCAGATCTTGGCAAACACTGGGAGCTGCCTCTTCTGAACAGGGAGCTCAAGGAGCTTGTCAGTGGGTGCAGGAGGCGGTGAGGGTGGCAGTAGCAGGAAGGGGCCCAGCCCCATGGGCTCCCTGGGCAGGGGGCCACTAAACATGCTATTCTGCAGGAAATCCTTGATGACACGTGTCTCCTCCAGCACCACCTTGTTGTCGGGGGCCTTGGATGTCTCTTTGGACTTCAGTGGGAACTGGGCCAGGAGCTTGCTGATCTCCGAGTTGGAGGCACCCAGGCTGTGGCCCCCGTCATCTATCCCCTTGGCACGCTTGACTTTGGCAGCGCGTAGGATGCCTGTGACTGTAGTCATGGCAGAATCACAGTCCTGCCTGCTGCCGATAATGGACACGGCCACCTTCGGCTCCAGGAGCTTGTCACCAGCAATGACAGAGGCTCGTGGGTGCTCCCTGCTGCCTACCACCAGAGGAGGCGTGAGAAGGCAGGGAGCTGGCTGTCCAGGGCCCTCTGGAGAGCTGCTAGGCACCTCCAGCTCCCTCGAGCTTTCTGTGACCAGAATGAGGTGCTCTTTGGTCAGGTTCAAGAACTCCTGCTCCACCAACAGGGAGATCTCGTCTTTGTCACTGCTGAATTCCAGAGCTCTGCAAACAGGTCAGAAAGACAGATGGCTTTAGTGGAAGCTCAGGAAGAGGGCTCTGCAGTAGGGCCAGGCCCCAGGGAAAGGAGATGGAGAAGGTAAGAGAAATCGATTGCTTTCTCAAGAGAGAAAATGGACTGGCTGTGGGCTCCCAAGAGGTCTCTACACCAGTAGGCCCAGCACCAAGAGTGTGGTTCTGGGAATTGGGACACCAGGTCCTCTCCTGATACTCCATCTTGCTGAGTGAGCTGAGCTTTCATTTCAGTCCATCCCCCCTCCTCCCTGTCCAGCCGTACCCAGGACCTGAAGCCAAAAAGACAACAACAAAAGGGTTAGGGGTGAGCCAAGGGCTCTGAGCATGGGCCCAGACTGCTGAGGCTGAGCCCTGGGCAGCCCCGAGGACTTGCTGCAGCGTGGCAGACTGAGAGAAGGGACTCTGGGGAGGACAGGTGGAGCTCATGCCCTGGTTTCATCACTTCCCTGCTGTGTGACCCTAGGCAGGCTGCTCAGCATCTCTGTACCCATTTCTTGGTCTGGTTTACAGGAATATCACAGATTTGCAAAGCACTGTAGACAGAGTCTGGCACAGAGTAAGGGTGACACAGGTGTCAGCTAGTATGTCTACACCCATTCAACCTGGCTGGGCGCCTGAATCCTGAATTCCACACTGTGTCCCGTGGTCCACCCTGGCTGGCATGGCCCTCTCCCCACATCAAGGCCTCTGGGCTGGGGCTCACTTCCTGGGGTCCCTGCTTGGATTCACAAGCATTTGCCTGTATCTACACACGGGCCTCTACCTGAACCTCAGGCCCTGGCCCCCAGGTGGACCTTGATGGCAGGCACCAGCCCGATGGGGCTTGATGGTCCCATAGAATCGAGGCTCCTGGTTGCTGGCTCTCTCCAGGTGTGGGAAAGGGTCACAATCCTGCAGGCCTGGCTCGTGGCCCAGCAGGCCCCACTGCATCCTTTGCAAGGGGACACCTTCCTCCCTGGCACTCCCAGGAAAATCACCACCCAGTTTAAAGCCATCTGTTATCCCTACTCGATGGGCTCCCATGAAGGGCTGATGAGGTGGTCTACAAAGAGCATTCTGGAAACTGCTCAGTGGGTTGTCCTGGGAGAAGGTGGTGAGGATGGCAAGGAAGAGATCAGGGGGAAAAATTAAAGCGCCCCAGAAGTGGAAGTTTGCAGCTGGGGAGGCCGGGCACACACTCCTGCCAACCCATTCTGGTTGGTCCCACAAACAGTGACTATAGAATGAAACCGAGTCTTCCCAGTAACACTCCTGTGTATAAGCACACGCACACTCACACATGCACACAGACACACACACACACGTGTCTTTGATGTGCACACACACAGAGGCACACAATGACTCACATATCACTACGCAAAGAATGGGGAGTAGAGTCACTGCATCTGAGAGCCAACCTGAATGGGCACAGGCTACAGTTCCAGAGGCTTTGTGCTGTGCTGGACATTAACCCCTTCATTACAGGCTCCTTACGAGACTCAGGGCTTCTGCAGAAGGGGCTGCGGGCTCAGGGCACTTGGGTGCATGCAGAAGAGCTAAAAGATACAGGAGTGTGTTGCTATTCCAACAACTGAGACAGCTGTGTCTCCTGCCTGTGGCCTCCCCAGGTTGGGAGGTAAAGAGCGGTGCCAGGAAAGAGCAGACTCCAGCCAGAGGGGCCTGGTTGGGAATCACGCACCACCCCTTATTTCGCATCCCATCCTAGAACCTTGGGGACTCCCCTGCAAGGGGGGTCTGACAGCTACAGCACCCACCCTCCTGGGCAGTGTGAGAACTTGTTGAGATGACCTATGTGCGAGCTCAGCACAGACACCCGTGCACGGGACACAGCCAGCGCGCTGGCCGGGCCTTAGCTAGAGCCGGCTGGCCTGAGGCTCCGGGGGCCAGCAGGGCTGGGGATGGGGCAAGGCCAGCTTCTACCACTACTTTCCTCTCCCCTCCACTCTCTCTCTTCTCTCCCTCTTCCCTGTCCTCTCTCCCGTTCCCTTTCTTTCCTCCTTCCCAGGTCTAGACTCAGTCTACAAATAGGCCTCACCCTGGCGGTGTGTCCACAGGAACCAGTGGAATAAAGAAGTTGCCAATCCATGGCCCCAAGTTTCAGATCCCCCTCTTCATCATCATCCTCAAGGGGAACAGGCGAGTCTTACAGCACAGAAAACAGACATTTGAAGGATCAATTTTTTTCTTTCTCCCCCAAAAAACCTTACAAAGCAAAATATATACCAATAGATTTTCTGAATTAGACTCACTACAGGCAGGAAGCCAGGTATCCCTCCATATGCTCAAACTTAATCCTCTCCGCACCCCTGGGCGATAAGACAGCATCATCCCCAGTTTATAGATGGGAAAAGTGAGCCTGAAAGAGGCTAAGGATCTTGTCACCAAGAAAGTAAAGAGACTGGTGTGGGGCTGCCGATGGGTCTGGCTGCTGTCACCACCTCCACTCACCCGCCGCGCTTCCTCTCTAGGGATGTTACCTCAGCAAGGCTTCCCAGCTCCACTCGAAGGCTGGGCTTTGTTCCCCAACCTGAGTGCAGTCAGGGATATCGCTGGGCTCATCCCATCACTCCAGCCTGTGGAGGATCATTGCGGTGAGTCCTGAACCTGTCATCCGTGGCATTAGCTGTCCCTCCCAGGTCCCTGTCAGCTGCATGTCTGATGAGCACCTCTTCTGAGTCTCCTGCCAACTTGTGGATAAAAATGTCGAAAGGGAGAGACTCCAGGGCTGAGCCTTAGGGACACTGCTGGAGACTCCCCCCTGAAACCTGACAGTAATCCTGGATCAACACTTTGAGGGGATAAACCAATCAATCCAGTCACTACCTTCCCAACTCCACTTCTCCAAGGCAGCCTTTGTCCAACGCCCCGCTGCAGTCGAGATTCAGTGCAGTTACAAATCCCTGACGGAGGGTCTCCCGACCTGTCCTCTCCTCCCCCATGAAAACAAGAATTGTTTGTTCTTGTTTGTTCTAGAAAAGTGCATGCCTGCAGAGCTAGGACATTCTCAGAACTCAACTCAAACCATTGCCTCATTTAAACCCTCATGTAGATTCTCATTACACATGGAATAAAATCCAGACTCCTTTCTGATACCCAGGGCACCACATGAAGCAGCCCCACTGCCCACTCTGCTTTAAATCCCCCTCCTTCCAGCCACTCTTGACCTTACTTAGGTTCACTGCAGCCCCAGGGCCTTTGCATGTCCTGGGGAATGTCAGATCATCCCTTGACTGGCTCCTTCTGTCATTCACGTCTTAGTTCAAATTTCACATTCTCAAAGTAGCCTTTCCTGTCCCTTTTCTAAAAGTTATTAACGCCCCCCCCCCCGCCTGCTTTCTAAGCATTCTCTGCTCCATCAGCTTGTCTAGTTTCCTCCCTAGCACTTATCACCCTCATACACTATCTTTTTTATGCCTTTATTCCCCACAACAACATATCCTCCCTGAGGGCCGGGACTGTATCTTTACCACAGAGGCCTGGGGACTAGAACAGCACCTGGCATTTAACTTCAACTCAGTAAGTATTTGTTGAATAAATGAATGAACTGGCTCATGAACTTGTCATTTCTTGGAGCTCTTAAAATCAGGAGCTCTGCTGCCAAAGGCTGTCAGACTCCTTGCATGGGTTGCAACCTGTCTGGCTTTGATTCCATTTTCTGTCCTCCCGTCTATGTCCCAACCCTGGCAGATGCCACACAGAACCCGCCTCCTAGCAACCACCTTGGGGCTCACAGAAGACTTTTCAATCTCCTTTCGACTTTGCTGGGATCCACATGAAGCCTGCCTGCCTGCATGTCTGGACTCTACCTTTCCCCCCCTCTTCCTAAGAAGTTTTGCCGATGTTGGCACTTCTCCCGTGCTATTTGCTTTCTCCTTTGGGAAAACCCGTAAAACCTGCCACAAACTATCACAGTGAATCATTCGGGGAGGTTAACGCAGCTCCTGGGCGCTGACAAAGGAAGCGGGAGTCAGAATCGGGGCCGTGGCTCCAGCTGCCACCTCCGCTTTGCCCACCTCCAGAAACGAGGCGTCTGGCGGCTCTGTCCGCGGGTGCTGTGCGTTATTCTGCACTCGCAGTGTACAGAGTTATGTAAAAATAAAGGCTATTGACTGGCTGGCACCCCTTCCCAGAATAATGAGTAAGCAAGCATGCTGCTAGCTCCCGACAGCAGTTCTGTGTACATGAGAACACAGAGCAAAGATGAAAACTGCTATTCGGCTGAGCCAAACAACAGAAAAATGCGAGCGGGAAATTGTTAGTGCTGGGCGAGGAGAGCAAAACAAGCATTTTCTTCTCGCCATGGCGTTTCAGGCCATCCGCAAACAGGGGACCCCGGCCCGATGCCCAGGCAACGCGGCTGATGGGAGAGCGAGGCCCGGGGCGGGCCCCGGGTGCCGCCCAGACCCAGGCGGGAAGGGCCTCAGTCCGCAGGCCGACCTGGCTGTGGGTGAGACTCTGACTCCCTGCACATCTCCGTGGGCAGAGCAGCGCGGCGTACTGGCCGTGAGCTGAGTTCTAGAGGGAGGCAGAAACTGGATTCAAATGCCCACCCCTTGGTGGAGCCTTGACCTTAAGCAAGCTGTGTGGGGTCCTAGTTCACAAAACAGGACGAAGGTTTAGTCTTTCTGGAGTGCTAACTACCCAGCCAGGCACCATGCTAAGCACTGTCCATGCAAAACGCTCATTTTAATCCCCACAACAGCCCCGTGGGCTAGTGTGTTGACTGATGACAGTAATGGTCCCATTTGATCACACCTTTGACATCCTGAATCCAGGTTCTTTGGTAATTCCCGCCCATCTTGATTCAAGTAATAGAGTGCTTGGGTATTACGGCGCAGTGTCCTGTTTCTTTTGGGACTCGGCCACCTCTAGGTGAACAAGCCCGGGAGAGCCTGCTGAGGAATGAAACGTCCACAGAGGCAAACCCCAATAGTTGGCCAGACCCAACTGACATGCAGACGTTGGGTAAG